ACCCCCCCCCCCCCCCCCACACACACACACACAGAGAGAGAGAGGGGGGGGGGGCATTCGCATTGACGGATGCGTGTGTGCTCGCTTGTTGTGTGTATGTCAGATTGTGGTGTACGAGTGTGTGGGTCGGTTCCGCTACCAGGGCCGCAAGCGGTTCAAGGGCCACACCAACGCGGGATACGGCATTCAGCTGGACTTCTCGCCGGACGGACGATTCATCACATCGGGAGACATCAACGGTGCGAAATCAGGCCCACAGACACTCTCCACAGAATGACCGCGGTCTTGCTTGTCTTTCCTTGCTTCAGGAAAGTTGTGGTTCTGGGACTGGAAGACCATGAAGAACTACAGGACACTCAAGGTGAACCGGGTGGCCCAAGGAAGGGAAGTCTGCATGTCGCACAGAGAGAGTCCCTCATACGTGTCTTCTCTGTGTTGTGTCAGGGTCACGACGGTGTGTGCATCGGGTGCGCGTGGCACCCCACCATGACGTCACGGGTATGGTATCACACAAGACACCTACAGACCCGCTGAGGAGGTTGCTCACGTCGTCTGATCTGTCGTGTGCACAGGTGGCCACTTGCGGATGGGACGGGCTGATCAAGTTCTGGGACTGACTGATCGGTGCCGTCGATTTGCTTTGCATGGGTGTATCTTTGCCTTGGCCGCGAGTGCTTCTTACATGATCTGATGTATAGGACAGGACCTGCCTCCATGCCTTTTCAATGCACCACTTATCCAATGCAATGCATGTCCGCAAACGAATGCTCGTCATTCACGACCCGTCGTCAGTTGTGTCCAATCGGCATGAAGTGTTTGCTTCTCAATATAGTAAGCCACATGTGGAAAAGGAGCGAAGTAGACTGACCAGCAAGCTTCAAGGACTGACCAGCAAGCCAGCCAGCCAGCCAGCCAGTCACACACACACACACACGCACACAATGATCTTTTGTGTCTGTCTGGGTGATGGTGGGTGTCCATCCAGGCTTTTATCTCTCTAACCTTGTCCTTCGTCTGACCGTGCGACCGATGCGGCTGGCTGATTCGTGAGGCAACACACGGGTGGCTGGACGGTGGCTGGGTGAATAATTGGCTGCATTTATGGACTCACGTGAGTACTTACTTCAAAGTGAAGTGTGTCTATGGATACACAGCAGCTCCCGAGACGCATTGATGTTCGCACGTACGGGTCAGGACAATCAACGAATCCATGAATGAATGAATGAATGAATGAATAAATGAGTGAATGAACGGGAGATGTTCGCAAGCTCCCTAGGTGCCGGCCCAAACCCAAACCTCAAACCCAAACCCTGAGCTTGCGTTTTTCTTGGTGATCTGGCGGCGATGGCGGACAGGGGAGCCAAGCGGACGGCCGCAGAGGCCTTCCTGGACCAAAACGTTGAAAGTCAGCCAAACCTGCCAGAGGGATCGTCTCGCATGAAGTGCGTCTGAGGCGTCCAGTGCCACGCAGTGGACCTGCTGCCCCCCCTCCGCCCCCTTGCCCCGCCTGGTTGTTCTGGAGAGGGCTGCTGATGTTTCTATCTCTCGAGAAATAGCTTCATCGCACCGTTGAGAACGAACCTATTCAGGTGTCACTGAACTCACCCGCCAGTTGTGCACTCATTCATTCATCTGCTGTGGACGTGTGGTGTGTGCAGATGGCTGGCACGACCGGCACATCGTTTCGTTTGATCCATCAGTCGGCCATGGTATCAACGAGGGACCGGTAAGACCAGCAGGAAGCCAAAGTTGATGCATTCAACAATAGTGGATCTTCTTGCTGTTGCAGGCTGGGAGGCGTCTGTCGCGCGACATGGTGGTCAACCAACAGGAGGAGGACGACAGTGGCGACAGCGATGAAGGTGAGTGTGCAGGCGGCCGCCTCCATCTCGGTAGGTCGGTCGGATCAATCGGTGTGTGTGGTGGTGTGCAGCGGAGGGTGTGGACGAGGATAGTGACGATGACGACGATAGCGATGAGGGACCGGTAAGACCAGCAGGAAGCCAAATTTGATGCATTTGACGATGGCGGATCTTCTTGCCGTGTGTGTGTGTGTCAGACATTGCGTGCGCCTCGTTACAAGGTCGGCACTCGTGTGTCGGTGGCGGCCGAGGAAAGGAGGGGCGACTCTGTGTGGGTGACGGCCGCTGTGTACGACACGAAGGAGACCGATGGCGGCACTGTGGTGTTCATGCGGGAGGTGGAGGGGAGGGAGGAGCTCGAGCCGGTCACCGTACCGCACCGGACCAAGCCACCACCCAAGCACAACCAAGACCTGGTAGACACCTACACGACAGTCACACGTGCGTTGGACCTCCAGTGCGGATCCCTCACTCTCACTCTCTCTCTCTGTCTCTGTGTGTGTGTGTGTGTGTGTGTGTGCGTGTGTGTGTCCACGTCAGCGAATGGGCGGCAAGACGTTTTCGTGGAAGGGCAAGATTTCGGCTGGGACCACCACCAGAGCACAGGATTCCACACCGGTACGCACAGACAAACATGCAATCAATGCACACAGATGGACCAGCTCATGGTCATGGCATTTTTGCTGTTTGAGTTGTCTCCATCCAGGTGGTGGCTGCTGGTGGCGAGGGCGAGGGCAAGCGTAGACGTGTAGCTTTCGAACCGGCTGCTGCTGCTGCTGCTGCATCTTCCCCATCGCAGGGAAGGCGTTTGCCGCGTGAGGGCCTCATTCTCATCTCGGGCTATGGCGTCTGGCCGCTCTTCGACAACAGCATCGCCAAGGAGGCCGGGGCTCAGTGCCGCCAGCTCGACATTGACTCCTCCCGGGCCGCCGACAGGGCCTTCTGGCAGGCGATGCCCGTCAACGTGGCCAAGAGGTGGGGCGGCCGCATGCCCAAACTCACCCGCATCTGGTGCTGTCACCCGGACGGCGAAGGCGGGTGGTGTCTGGCCGCTGTCACGGCCCTCATCGAAGGCCACACGGAGGGCCGCACAGCGATGGTCGCGGAGAAGAGAAGGGAGTCAGAGAGGCGGGGAGAGGCGTCCGACATCCCCGACGGCTCACTCACGACAATCGCCTTCGAGGCGGTTGAGCTCAGCGACGAGGACATGCTGTCCGTCCGGCGCATCAACCACCTGTCCGTCCGGCGCATCCACCCCTACCTCCCCCCTGTGTGTGCCCCGCCCCCCTCCCTCCCCGCCCTCACATCCATCAGCGGCCTCACTGCCCGCCACCGTTTCATCGGCAGCCGCCACTGGCGCGTCCCGTCGCTGGAGCGGGTGCAGGCACACGAGCACATCGACACACTGGGGCCACTCGTCGGCTCGTCGCGGTGCCTGAGGGTGTTCGACGTGCCCTCGACGGTCGGCCAGAAGGCCGAGGTGCTGCAGCAGGTGCCTGTTGCTGCAGAGGAGGGACAGCCGGGGCCGCTGGCGAACTTGGAGGATATCGGGCCGATTGAGGTTGAGGGTGACATGATGGGGAATTTGGTTGGGTGGGGGTTATGGCTGGCTACATTCTGGCGCACTCATAGATTGCAGGTCAGGAGGCTGCTAACACGGAATGGACAACAGATGCAATGATACTGACCCATGTCATTTCCTTTCTTAGGAGCTGGAGTCGGTCCTCGTGTCACGAGGCTGTCGTCGGTCCCTCAAGTCGCTGAAGGTCAAGTTCGTCGAGCCGGCGATTGTGGGCCACATGGTCTTCGAGTTCGCCGAGGCCCTGCAGACATTCGCCAGTGCCGTGTGCGTCGACAGCGTCCCCATCAGCTTCACCGGTGCGGCTCGGGGGGATTTCCTGATGACCCTGTACAGCTCTCTCTTCCCCGCTGCACCCTCCCCCATCCTCAAGACACTCATGCGCCAGCTGGCAGACCAGGCGACTCGGGTGACAGTGGACTTCAGGTCGTCCGACCTCGCCACCCCTCCCACACCTGCGATGCTCGACATGGCCAGAGGCCTCGCATTCAACAAGGCCACGAGTGTGCGTGTGTTCGGTGTCGACCAGCCTGCACAGGCCGCCCTCGCCCCCGCCCACCCTGCCCTCGCCCTCATCGACCAGATCCAGCCGATGCCGCAGGCGTCGGACTTGACAATCAGCAGACGCATGGCATTGGCGGCCGGCATCCAGCTTGCCAGCAAGATGCCCAACTTGCGGGTGCTGTACATCCAGGACAGTGTGCTTATGCAAGAGGCGCTGCAGGCCATCAAGGCGATCGGGTCTGAGCGGGATCTCGACACGGTGACTGTGAGTGACATTTGGGGGGTGGGCAGCGGGGGCATCGACACAGGGGAGCATAGGGAGGGAATCCCCCAGATCACCAAACTGGTTGTCAGACTCACAGGTGGGTGGATTGCAGGGTAGGCAGCCCCACGGAGAGAGAAAGAGACACAGAGAGAGACCTGTATGTGAATGTGTGTCTGTGTTTGTGCGTCTGTGTGTCCAATCCCACATCAGTTCCTGGTGGCGTCCCCGACTTAATCGAGTTCGCCTGTTCGAGTGTGAGATCGCTGCTGCGGCTCAGGTGCAAGACGGTGGACCTCCGGCTGCATGGCCTGGACGCCCACACACGCAGCCTGCTCGAGTCTGCCGTGCCTCCACAACTTGGCAGCGGGGAGGGCACGACAATTTTGTGCTCGCAGGAGAGGGACACGTGGGACGGTGATTGTCTCAGGATCACTGCCAAGCATGACAGTGGGTAGCTACGGGTGTGTAGCGGCGTGTGGGAATAGGACGCCTTTTCATGTGCAAGCACTCGAGAGGGAGGGGATTGGGGTGTGGATTGACTGACGTAAATGATGGTGGCTGCTCGAACGCACGTATGAGGTCATGGATGTCGCCTTTTTCGCTTGCTGGCTTGTTGGATGGATGGATGGGTCCATCTTCAATCAATAGCACAAATAGTCGTCCAGTTCCGTCTCACTCACATGAACACGACCACAAAAAATGCTGACTTGCCAAGACACGACACTGATAGATACACAACAAACCACATGCATCACTCGATAAAGGCGAGCCCCTTCCAAGGCTATCATCTCCTGCCGCAATCAACCAAGGTGTAGACCCTCCCTTCCCCACCCAGTCAGTCATCAGTCATCAGTCATGCTGCCGTCGTTTTGTGAAGCCTGGCCTCTAAGTGCAGGTATGGCTCCTTCTCTGTCGTGCCCATCCACACACGATAGCTCAAATCTCCACCTTCAGCCCTGATAAACTCGCGACGCAGCGACGTGGTCCGCTTGCCCGAGGCGAGCGGCGACCGGACGATGCCCTCCACGCCCGTGGTTGACAGGCTGAGCACTCCCTCGCTCGTCACCTTGCCCACCTCCACCTCAGAGAGGCCAAAGGGGTGGCTCAGCGACAGGTCAACAGGCACAGCTGCAAGTGACGACCCTCCAGCAGCGTCCACCAATCGCATAAAGCCGGTCTCGGTGTGCATAGGGTTGCCCTCGTGCTTGTTCGTGGTGCGGGACGTCCACCCAAACACGCCCGCCTTTGCCGTGGGCTGAATGCTCAGCACCTCGGTGTACTCCTTGGCCACCGAGCCGTCCGACTTGAACACCTTGCCCTCGCCCTCCCACACGCCTTGCAGCCACTCCACTGCGTTGGTGGTCACAGGGACAGCCGCCGGGGTCGACATGGCGTGCTGTTGGTGGTCCTTGCCCCAGGTCCACGGCTGGAAGAGAGATGCCGTCTGCTCCAGGGCCGACCGCTGGTCCCTCACATGCGCTGCCAGCACCTTCCCAAGCCAGCTCCTCGTAGAGATGCGACCTACCGCTGGTCCGAATCCTCGAGGGAGCTTCAGCTCCACCATCTCGTCGTCATCACCCCTCTCACCACTTGAAGGCTCACTGCTGGTCTTGTCTGCGGCCGCATGCCGAAGCACTGGAGCTGGCAGCCTCCTCTCGCGGCTGAGATGCAGTGTTGGATGAGAGAGTACGGCTTTCGAAGCCCTGGGAGTGACGATAAGGGCTTCCGAAGGTGAGAAGATCAGGGAACTCACCTGTAGCAACTTCCTGAGGCGCGATGGCATTGACAGAGATCACGTGTGCCGAGAGGAGCGAAAGGATCTTTGGGGCGCGGGATATGGTTTCTCGGGGGATCGACGGAGAGGCGAGCTAAGCTCCTGCGACGAGGCGTGGCCCGCGTGAGTATACGAGGTGTGCGTGGCGTTTCCTGAAGGAGCATTGGAAAAGCCCTTCGCGTGAGAGAGGGATCGTCGTCGGCTGCGAGAACAGGGAGAGATCTGCGTGTTCCGCGTGGAGAGGATTGGGTGCGGTTTTGTCATCAGTGGGGACTGTGTGGTGATCCTGTTGTCACCTCCCGCTGACGTGTGAGTGACCGGTTGTCTGAGGAGCAGGCAGTCGTTCACTCGGCACCAGCCTTCCCATGTATATATTGGGAGTACTGGGAGTACTCGCCCTGTTGAGGATGACGCTCGCCAACCACAGCAATGTCAGAGGTCAGCGGAGAGCATCACGACACACAAACGCATCGAAAGGGAGAGATCGGATGGAGATGGGAGGAGAGGGTGGTGATTGAAGGTGGCTGTGGTGTGGCCTCTCGTGTGTGTGCAGGTGTCGCATCATCATCAGAGGGCGTGAGGCGCGTGTCCTCAACCCCTGCGTCAGAAGACACCTCTCTCCCATCGCTTGCCGACTTCCCCGACACACTCCCAGCGAGAAGAAGAGCACAAACAACAGGTAGCATTCCTTTCCTCTGTCTGATGTGATGTTCATCGCACTTTCCTCTGCATCTGATGCCAAATCGCCTGTCTATCCTATCAGGGGAGGAGCCGTCTGGATCGGGTATGACTGGGGACGGTCTGACGAATAGTGTCAGTGAGTCAGAGGGGGCCACCAGTGCTGCTGCTGGGAGGCAGCGGAGCCTGGCGCGGCAGCCGTCACCGGCAGAGAGGGGGGAGGGCCACTCATCGCGATCCCACAGCCCGCCATTCAGACAACTCCAAGGTACGAAGTAGCTGACGTACGGACGGACCACCATGCAGTAGAGAGGGTCGGCAATGGTTCGTCGAGTGACGGCTTCGCTGCCTCCCAAAGCAGACTGATGGCCTCCTGAGAGGACCCACAGTGCCATGCCGCGCAATGCATTGCATGTCTTCACACACAAGCCAGCATCCCTCTCATGTCTGGCGTGGTCTTCTGGTGTGTGTGGTGTGTGTCAGGTTGCACCGCATCTCGGCAGGAGTTTTGTCGTCGGAACGGCTGTCCACCGGCGTGCTGGATGGACTACGGATGCGACTGCTGACCCACAAAGCGGCCCGGCGACATCATCCAGCCCCCTCTTTACCCACAACCACCCCTCTCTGCAACCCCCTCCCCGTCCAACCCTTTCCCCTTTTGTGGCGCACACCATCGGCGGATCGGCGTGTTTATAGGCAGTGTGTGGACCGATGGCCGGCAGACGGGCACACACGTTTGTGGGTGGTCGAGGCGCCCGTTCCCATCCCTCTCCCCCCCATTCCATTCTTTCTTCCTGTCGGTGCTATCCATGCCATGCATTCGGTGGGTCTGCTTGACGAGCGGGCGGCCTCGGCTGGTGGTGTGGCGGGAGTGTGGATATTGTGTAAGTGACATACATACTAGGCGTAGGCAGGCGGAGCTCACAGGAGGCGGAGCTCATGGCATGGGAGGGGGGGCTTCTTTCTCGCTGTCGATGTGATGTGCATGGGGGTGGGGCTACGTTCCGTCAGTGTCTGTCGTGTGTTGTGTGTCGTGACTGTGTGAATGTCATAATGTCTGAGGGAGGGGACGCCCTTTTCTCCCTTTTTGTTTGTGTCAAGACCGCTCATCCACCTGCCTTGCTCGTGTTCTGACTGACTTGTGCTTTCCTTTGGTACATACTTACTGGCTGACGGCTCTTCCCTCCTTCTGTGTCTGCCTGACCTGATAGAGAGAGGCTGGCTGTTTGGCTCGTTACACGCCCGTGATCGCACCAACGAATGCATCGCTACTGTGTGCGTGCCTGGTTGTCTCTCTCTCTCACCACCCACTCGCTCACCCGCCATGCAGGCTTGGCTGCCATTCTCTCTCAGCAGTTGCCGGCCGTCCTTTTTCATCCCTGTCTGTTGATGCGCGCGTCGTAGTATGTATCGCGTCTATCCTTTGCACACCTTTCTCGCTCTCTCTCTCTCTCTCTCTGAGTGTGTGTGGGGGGGTGGGGGGCTGGCTGGCTCGGGGGCTTACTTCTTGCATGTGATATGTGTCTCCCTGCCCACCCCACCCGGATGGGTGATAGGATGCATTGCATCAACGGTCTATCTGCCGCCCCGCCCCGCCCCGCCCCGCCCCATTTATCTGTACATATCCTTCAATCGCTACACGGGCAGGCAGACACTCCTATCCACTGACGGGCGGGGGCGAAAGGGGACAAGAGCAATCGATGTGTGTGTATGGTTGACTGGTCGGCCTGCTGTTCTGCTCTTCCATACGTACGTGTGTGGGTTGTCTGTACAGCTGGCTGGCTGGGGTCGGACGGACGGGATGGATGGGCACGTTGGAGGGCAACCGAGACCAGAAAGATCGCTCTATCTATCACCATACCAGTATGTGATTGATGTGTACTGGCTGCCTGGCTACGTATGCATTTTTGGTCTCAGGTAAGGGAGGCGGACTTCATCCATCGTGTGTGTATTCATGTCACGTGTGTGTGTTCACGTCTGTCTACGCATGTGTGAGTGGTTCGGCTGTCTCGCTTCGTCACCACTTTTCTTTGTAATCACATCAATCGCACGCACCCATAGTCACACCCCACCCACACAGCCACCTCTGCTGCACTGCATCGGTCGTACTTTTGCAAGGATGGGCCGGCAGGTGGGTGGCGTTTTTAATCGCACCGACAGCACAGGCCTAATTCGATTCGTCAGACAGGCAGATGGATGGCCTACTACCAGCAGCATTTCCCTCTCTCTCCTTTCGTAGCCTCTTTTCTGATGGGTGAGTTCAGAGGCTGTGTAGGCCTGAGGCCTGGGCGACGGTGCATTGCATTCCCATACACCCTCTCGCCTGGCTGTGCACACACGCCCGGATGGACAGACAGGTTTGCTTCATTTTGTAGTTGCCTGCCTGCCTTTGTTGCTTGCTTTGCCGCGCCACACACACTGCATTCCCCGACTGGCTGGATGAACGAATGGATGGATTATGACATGTATGTGTGTGAATGTTGTGCGCTGTCATGTGATGGATGAGTGGATGAGTGTCTGTCTGTCTGTCTGTGAGACTGAGGGAGAGAGGCTTATCGTCATCCGGGTCTGCGTGTGAGTGTCACTCTCTCCGATCGCCTCGCCTCGCCTGCCTTTTTTCTGTCGATGATCGATCACAGAGGTCCGCAGACTGACTGCCTCGTCTCACTGCTGCCCGCCCCCTGTGTGTCTCTGTCTGTCTGTCTGTCTGAATGTCTGAATGTCTGTGGGTGCGTGTGTACCGAGTCACGGACACATATCCACCCACCCCTCCACCATCGACTGATTGATGTGATTGGTGTCCGGTGTATTTATGACCCATCCATTGATGTGTGTGCATGTGATGTGATGTGTCGTGTGAGTGGACAAAGCCCGTGACGTGACTGACTTGTGCTCTCCGTGTCTGATGTGCCACTCAACTGAATACTCACTGACATACACGGAGGATGCAGGCATTAAATCGCAGCCACTCAGCCCGTCAGGTGTGTATCATCGACATGCACACGCATGAAGCTCTCAGGACACACACAGCAACGCGCCACACAGTCAACCACAGTGAGCCGTGGTGGCTGCGAGGGAAGCCATCCCCTCCCGCTAACCAGTCACTCACTCATCTGTCTGTCTGTCCTCCAACCCCACCGCTCTACGCTGCACACCGTCAAGATGTTCTCTGACACCAGCATGCATCGCTGCTGTCTCAGCAGCCTTCATGGGCCGCCGAGTGACCATCTGACAGGCGACACACACGGCCAGACAGACAGACACTCAAGGCACGTCGTGGGCCGTGGTGTGTGTGATGTGTGTCGTACCTATGTAGCGGCATTGCGGCGCTCGACACACAGCATAGACTCACCGAAGCCCGCCGCTGAGCTGAGCTTGTAGGGCCCGCCGCAGAGGTTGAGGCCCGCCTGCTGGGCCATGAAGCGCCGCTGGAAGTCGGTGCGCAGGTCATCGTCGAGCAACCTCACACAGGTCTTCTTGTGACCCTGCAGGGCAAAATAGGACGAGCGACATATACACATCCAGGGAGCTATGTGTGTGTGGTGTTCTATGTGACGCACCTTGAGCTCGTTGTTGAATGAGATGACCGTTCCCATCACGTTGTCGTAAAACTGCTCCAACTGGTCATCCTCTACACCGCCTACAGTGAATGAAAACCAGAGACACCATGCCTGCTCCTGCACTCCCATCCCCCCTTACCGGACACGGTGATCGTCACTTTCTCCACCGTCGGCAGCTTGTCGTTGGTGTCCCGCCCCCACAGAGAGGGGCTCCGGTCAGTGTGCACGGGCTCGAAGAATGCACTCGGCCGCAGATGCAAATCCACGATCAGGCTCCTTTCCCGCCCCCTGCTGACCAGCGCCTTGAGCTCCTGCAGGAATAGCTTGTCTGCACACAACACAACACACACGGCACACAACCATCCCGGCACAGTGTCTTACCAAGCCACGCATCCGGCTCCCTGTCTGTCTGTCTGCCTATCCGTCCATCCATCCATCCCTCACCCACTGACCCACCCACCCGTGTAGATGAGGCCGTATTCTTCCACCTGCCAGGAGCCTGTCTTGCCTGCAGGAATTGACCACACATACACAACACAGCACACGTGCAGAGCACCACACAAGTGCGTCTGTGCGTACCCTTCTGCGTCTCGAACACGACGCACAGCTCCCCGAACTCGGCCCCACCCTCCTCGTCGCCACCAAACGTGTCTGCAGATCAGGTCAGATGACGCTCGTACCACACCGCACCGTCTGCTTGTCAGATGTGACCGCTTGCTTACTCAGGTCGAGGCTGATGACCCGGACGGCCTTCTTCTTGGCGCTCCCTGCGACGAACAAACAACCGGCACGCACCGACCGTATGTATGTGTTCGTGCTGTGGCACATCCTTACAGAGGATGAAGCGTCACGCCTTTCTCCAGCCTCATCCTCACACACCGAGATGGAGATGGCTGGCAATCAGGGAGAGATCTTTGTTGTCGAGGGATGTCAAGCCGGCGCGTCACGTCAGCGGTTGAGAGCCCGTTCAGTCCCCGCTTGGCCGCACAGCGCCTGTCTTCCCGCCTGTCTATCTGCTTGTCTGTCTGTCAGTCTGTGTCTGTGTGTCATGATGCGAGGCCGAGCATAGTCAGCATTTGCACAAACAGCTCGGAAGAAAACACAGAAAGAGACCAAACCTCACCCGCAGCCTGCACGCACGGTGGACACACACACGTATCCATCCGTCACACAGAGGCATCCATCTTATGTGTCCCAGCCGTGGTGTGCCTGTGTGGCCTGCCTGACCCAGTAAGTGAGCGATAATATTCTGAGTCGCTTGAGCATGATGTAGCAGCACACGGCCACGAAGAACAAAAAGGAGTACCAAATGAAGGTGCTGTCCATCTCAGTCCTGCACACACCACACACGCACACATGTCAACATGCGTTTGTCTGTCTTATTGGAAGGCTCACTTTCGTTTCAGTTTGCTGAGCAGCGCCCCGGCCTTTTGCAGACGCTGCCCATACGCTGCACTCAAGACAGACAGACAGACAGACAGGAACACGCCCTTCAGCGGCCATTGCATGCAGCACCAAATGCACCCGTACCTGAGTAGGCCTCGTCTGTCTTGCCGATGGTCGTCGAACCATGATCTGTGTGTGACACACATAACGACAGACACACACATACACAGAGATCACGATACTCTGCTGGCTTGCTCACCGAGTGCCTCTGTGACTTGGTGCATTCTCTGCAGTTCCGTCTGCATCATCTGGCGGGTCTCACGCAGCCCACTCCTCAACTCCTCATCCCCACCACCGATGCGCTGACGGGGTGCCCCCGATGCCGATGCTGACGCCGGCCCGCCGCTGCCCGCCAGCAAGTTGGTCCGCCGGCTCTCTGGACAGGTGCTGCTGCACCATGCCGTACCAACGACAAAGCTGATCCTACCTGTGCGGACAAACACACAGTACATTGGATCAGGGCACCAGTCCATCAACAGACACACCTGGCGATTTGCTTCGCTGCCCTCCCTCGCCAAGGCCCTCTGCAGCTGCGCAATCTGCTCACGCAGGCTCCTGCAAACAAACAGATAACACACACATGGGTCGGCATCTGTCTTCACCTGATTGCATATTCGTTGCGTACTGTCGCGTGGCCCCTGCGACATCTGGAGCGACGGCTGCGGGCGAGGGGAGGGCAGAGAGCGCCTCAAACAGGCTCTGGTCCAACGATGCGACACTCTGCATCGATGTCAACATGTCACGATGGCTCACGCAGATCCAGGGAACCATTGTTCATGTCAGGGTTTGGGCTTCAGGGTTTCGGGGAAGGCGAAAGATCCGCGGAGGCCGGCAGCGGTGTTTGTATCGGGGGGTGCGGTATCTGTCCGCATCTGCATCCTGAAGTAGCCGGTGAGGGCCTCACAGGTGCGCAGACATCAGATCTGTTCTCATGATGCCTGCACGCCCTGAAGCAGCTGGCCTCCATGGTGCTTTGCTGTGTGCGGTGTGGTATAGAGTAGGTCACTCATCCGTAGCCTCCTGCAATGGACCGTGACGATAGCGATGACCGCGGGGCTCGTCCACAGGTCAGCCACTCACGGGGCTCTCCACTTCCCTGCCGCATCTGTGTGGTCTTGGTGGTGTGTTACAGTCGGCAAATGTGGATGACGCCCTTGATCAGCTTGGGAAGGAGAAGCATCGCACCGACACACTCTACCGCACCATACAAACACAAGTGAGTGAGTGAGTGAGTGAGCGAGGGTAGAGTGGCCGTGATAGGCGCGTGGTGGCATGTGTGTATCGTGATGTTTGTGCGTTGTCAGTTGGCGGCTCAGCGTGCCTCCCTGACGGCCGGCGATGTGGGTAGGGTACTGGGTCACATCACCCGAGGCGGTGATTGTCTGAAGGAGGCCGCCGATTGTCTGAGCGGACTGACTGAGGTGCGTGAAGACGAGTGGTGTCCATCGACCACACACACGTCAATGTGTGTGTTTGTGTTGTGTGTGCATCATTCAGGGTGACGGCAGTGTGCGTACGGGAGTGGCGGACAGCTCATGGAGCGTCGATGGCGGTATGTGTGTGCATCGAGGCCAGCCAGAGAGGCTTGGAATGAGTTCCGTTTATCAGATGCCTTCTCTGTGTGGGTCAATGTGTGTGTGATCAGGTAGCAGCTGTATCGGATAGCAAGCGGGCCCGATTGGATGGTCACTCAGACCATCCTGCTGCTCCTGCTGCTGCTGCTGCTGCTGCTGCAAGTGCAGGTGGGCGGCGACACAGAAGATGAACCACACACATCAGACGCACTCAATGCCCTCTCTGTCTGTCTGGTTGTTGTGCAGGTGGTGTGTCGGGCGTCTCTCAGCAAGATGAGCAAACCCAAAACCAGCAGCACCACAACCACCAGCAGCAGGTCAGGCAGACAGCACACGGGGCCTGGCCAAGGCAGCAACCAATCAACGGCAGGCTTGTTGACGCCCTCATGTTCTCTGTCCATCTGCGTGTGTACGTGTGTGTCAGGTTGCGTGTGGGCCGTGTTTGTGTGGCCTTGAGGGCCCGTTGGTGTGCGAGATGGCCTCCTTTCTCACCACCATCGAGGCCACCGTCCTCTGTCTTGTCAACAAGGACATCAACAGCAAGGCCGACTACACCGCCAACACAACCACCACCGAGGACAAGACCGACGACACGCCATTTGGCATCTACCACAACCTGACCATCGCAAAGGAGGAGTGCAAGACGTGGGCGAACCTCAACCAGCCCACACGCGCACGCCTGAAGACCAAACTGGTGAGGCAGAGTGTGTGCTCATCGTGTCGCCTCATATCCATGCGTTCGTCTGTCGATATGGTGTCTGTGTGGCTGTTCAGGGCAACGTCAAGACGGCTCGCATCGCGTGGCCCATCGACAGCCCCGGTCGGAGGCGGTCCTCAGGCAGGAGCGGCGGGCGGCTGGTGGCGGAGTGTCTGGCGGGATCAAAGTCGTCCCTGGAGGACTTGCACATGACATCATGGGACGGGGATCACGGCAAGAACCCTGGTCGGCTGCCTGCCGTCGTCTTTACCAAGCTGAGGCTGCTCGCCGTTACATCATTTAAATGCCTTACCTACTTCAGGTGAGAGGGAATAGGACTCATGAATCGATTTGAAATGTCCGTCGGACGTACTGCCATTGTCCATCTTGCTATCCTTCTGCCTTGTCTGTCTGTCCCTCAGGAAGTGCAACTGGACCTTCCCGAGCCTCGTCGACTTGCGGGTCAGCACCACGACGGGGAGCCAGCTTCCCGACGTCACCCACATCGTGCGGTCATCCCCCCAGCTGCGCACACTCACAACGACCAACAGCTGGGAAAAGATCGACGGCAGGGGCAGCGACTGGTGTGAGTTCGCCAGTGCCCTCGGGCAGTGCCCTCACTTGACGACCATCCGCGGGCTGGCCATCGGGATCGGCAACGACTGCAGCCACCTGCCTGACTTGCAGAAGGCCCTCGACACCCCTGGGGCAAAGAGGAGAACCGAGGTAGGTGGGTGGGCTCAGATGGGCAGACAGCCAGCCAGGCAATGCACGTCCTGCGCTCCTCTTCCTGCTTTCATGTTGCATCCCTGCCTCCCATCGTGTAGGCGTCAAGAAGACCATCGAGTTCGAGTACGACCCCAGCATCAGCTGCACCTTCAGCGACGAGACCCGTCCCCTGCACACCTTCCTCACGTGGGCGGGAGGAGTCCGCGTGTCCATCGAGTGGCTCGGCGGGAAGGTCAGGATGGATTGCAGCAAGGCTGTGTCGAGCTCTATGGCCCCTCCTGCTGTGCGTGGCCCCGTGGCTGACGTGGTCAAGCAGATGGCGTCCCAGGCAGCGATAGTAAGTCGAATGACAGTGATGGCATTCTTCCACCCATCTGTCTATCGTGTTGTACACGCCATGGCTGCCTGTGTGCCTCAGGTGGACTTGTATTTGGGCGGGAGCCGACTGCACGACTCATGGAAGGACCTCCATTTTCCCGCCGCAGACCTGCTCCAAATCGTGGGCACCGCAGACCCGCAGGAGGTCATCGAGAGCATCCCCAAATGGCTGCTGGAGGTCGATGAGGACGGCAACAACGTGTGCTTCCCCAAGATAGACTACCTCGATATCTCGATGGGGCGTGTGGGGGATGATGGCCCACCTGCAGAGGCCTGGCACTTGCCGGCCGCCCCCAACGCACTCAGTACACTGCTAGGCAGCCTGCGGATGGTCACGTCAGTCTGCTTCAACAGGTCTAGTTTGTCCGCCGTGTGTGAGTGCCTGTCACACATGACCGTCGACAAACTAGATACGTTGGAGGTCTCTGTGGGCGACCATCTGACTGCACTGCCTGACCCCACCCCAGTACACACTGCCGTCTGTGCACCGTCAACTCTTCCCGATACGTGACTGGGGGCGGCCCGCAGTGAGCAAGGCAGCTGCCTTGTCGTGTATGCGTTTGGCCTCACTCACTCACGCACACGAGGCAGAGTTTGAGTTTTACATAGCGTCAGACCAGTTTGACTTCCACCGGGACTATGGGGAGCTAGAGGGATGGGCGGGAGATGATGAAGATGAAGATGACGATGAGGATGCTGTGTGGGAGCGGGAGAGGGAGCTACTAGAGCAGGCCATGAAGGAGCATGGCAAGGGCTGCATGCGCGCGTTGGCCACTGAGTGCTATGAGGTAGTCAAGGGAGGATATCATCTGACGGACGTAGACGTCAGCTGTGACGTGGAAGACGACGAGACCACGACGCAGCCGGTGTCCTACGGCCGTTTGCAGCTGAAGGTGTTAGCCAAGGGTGCCACAGCAGGCTCACCGACTGACTGACTGACTGGCTGACTCACTCGCTGCTGACATGTGGATCTGTCTGGCTGTGGATGAAATGCCCGTGTGCATGCGATGTGCACTCGAGTGGAATGTGTGCGTGTGGTTGCTCAGCTGCAATGATGAATGGGAGTTTTTCGAGACATTAAGAGACACAGACAGCCGTGCGAGTAGTATGTTCATCCTTTGCCGACCGCCCGATGTAAACGATGAAGATTCATTGAGGCAAGGAACCAATTACGCGTCCACTCCACTCATCTAGCCACGCATGAGACTAGCCAACGATAAATCACCCACCTACGCAATCAACGCATCGATCTGATGACGCACGGAGGCACGCACCGCCAAACGCCATCCAGCCAGATACCTGTTACATTCACACCTTCCTTACATAAATATGTATGGCCCCCGCCCCCCTTCCCTCCCCCCATGGCTGCCCTGCCCGAGTGTGTGCAGCATGTCATCGATCAGAGCTGACGGGCTCACGAGCTCGACACAGCCAAGCAACCAACCAACAAGAAAAGGCCTCACCCAGGCGACCCTTTCTCTTGCATGTTGTCCTGTTCGTTCGTTCATGTCATTGTCACGGTCCGAAAAACGCACAGATACAGTGAGTGATATGATGCTGATCAGATCAAAGCCATCAATCGATTCATTCATCGATCCATCCACCCGCCCAATTATGTCGAAGCGAAGACCCACACACACATGCTAGCATTGCCATGCAATGTCTATCGGTCTGTCTGTCTGGCTGTCTGTCTGTCTCTTTCTCTCCCACCGAGCCCACCACCGACCTCTCATCGCTTTGAACGAGACAGAAACACACACATAACACACGCATCCATGTAGTGCGGTAGGAATGAGATGGGTATAGCCTTGCCTTGTCTGCGTGTGTCTGTGTCCTGGAGGCGCACCGCGGCCAATTGGCCACAATGCTGCGAGGCGAGGGAGGGGGACGGGCCTGCAGTCATGCCAGCCAGCGGCTCCCCGCCCTCTTCCCGACTCCTCTGGTCAGTCAACGGAGGGAGGGATGCACGAGGGAGAAAGCAGCGCTCACTAATGATATGAATGACATGTAGGTATATTGTGGTAGATAGATGTAGCACGTACACACACAGCTAGTAGCTACGATGCGATAAATGTCGTCAAGTCAGCCAGTTGTTCGGAGGGGGAACGATCACAGCTAACACCATCCACACCATACACAGAGGGGGGCGTCAGTCTCCCTCTCTTGAGACAGGAGGAGACACCCATACTGCTCTGCCCTTACGTTACGTGTTGGTGTCAGGTTGCCACCTGCCTGCCTGCCTGCCTGCCGGTTACAAACCCACACACACACAGCCCCCTCCAAACAAACACCCCGTAGCTAACTACCTCACATAGGCAGACAGACAGACAGGCAGGCGAGTAAATCAACTCATCCCATGCATGCAGAAAGGAACGAACGTGAGCTCAGGTTATGAGTGAAGCCAAGCCGCCGAAAAAATGCTTTCGATGCATTCGGATCAGTCAGGTGGTCGGTTCGTTCGGTAAGCAAGCTTTGTGACGTCAGTCGTGTGGATCGATTCATCAAGTCAGTCGGTCAATCCGCAGAAGGCACGACACGAACAATACAGCAAGTATTCTAACATTCACTCATGTCGTCACAGGCAGCACCAAAACACAATTGATGTGATGACACTTGCACACGACACAGCACAGAAGAGCACAGGACCACAACACTCACGACACAGACAAACGCATTTTCTCATGAACGACACGTAGCACCAGCAACCATCGAAAAGAACGACAGCAGTATACTGAGGGGGAGCCAGCCCAGCCAGGGGACGAGGTGGGTGGGAGACATCAGTCGGTTGCCAGCAGCCAGCACAAGGCGAGAAAAAAAAGCAAGCCAAGCATGTGTGGCAGGCAGAGGCAACACGACAGGCAGGCAGACCCCGACTCGGCTCGGCTAGCGTGTCCCGTCAAGCTAAGCTGGTCACGTAGGCTCACACCCACCCATCCACATGAATCTACAATAGTACGCACCAGAGAGAGAGAGATGGATAAATATCACTCACTCACATCACCGGCATGGCATCATCTGTCTGTCAAAAGCCACTGACTGCGACACCCATCCTATCGCATCGCATCGCATCGCACCCCACGTACCACGCACGCACCGAAGTGGCTCGCTCCGCTCCCCACACGCACAGCACAGCACAGAGACATGTCATGTCGGCGTGGGCGTGTGGGCTGGCTGATCGACCTGCGAGGCTACAGTGGACAGACAGAGAGGTCACGTAGGCAGGTCGGGTCTAGTACATCTATATGTATGTATCACTGATGCAGGCAGGCATGCACGAGTAGCACGCACGCTCATCCATCCTTCATTTAGTCACGGTCATTGTCTCTTCTTTCTCTTGGACCGCACCGCAGCAGCGAGGGAGGGGCGGGGGGGAGGGAGAGGGGGGTCGGCTGGTCGGCCGCTCAGAGGGAGTAGATGAGCTGGCCACCGGTCCTCAGCTTGCGGATCCACAGCCACAGGTAGTCCCCTGCAAGAACCACACACACAGACCGAGACACGCCGTGATGTGTGGGAGCAAACGCCGGTGTGCCCGTGTGTATTATGTATGGACGTACCTGAGAGGAGTGTGTGGAGGAGGTCCGCAACGAAGAGGCCGATAAAGTGCTCGCCGATCCAGTACAGCTGCACCCAGAAGAGCAACCGCACTGCCCGCGAGCACACCAGCAGACCCACGTAGTGACTTGTCACATTCTCAACCTGAACACCACACAGTTGCAGACGCCACGCCCACCATTATCACAATCATGCTGATGGCCTGCCGCCTCTGTTAATGTTACCTACCTCGTGCATCCTCCGCATAAGGTAGAGCTGCGGGATGAGGGCGACGGCCTCGATGTACATGGTGAAGGCCACCAGGATCTGCACCGTCCACCACTTGTAGCCGGGGTGGAAGAAGAACGCCAACACCAGGGCCGCGGGAATCAGAATCGTGGCTTTCAGCGGCGAGGGGGCCTGCTTGATCGTCGTGTGCCGGAACTGCCACATCGAGTAGGCCAGCATCAACGCCACGACCGTCGAGCAGATCAGCTCCATGTACGCCAAGTTCGTCTGAACCAACCAAAACATCACACCACACACACACGTATCTGCCTGCCGTACCCTCCATTTCCTCTCCCCCCCTCCGTCCCTCTGTGTGTCAGTTCCCTCCCCCCGCGCCCCTCCGTACCTCGATGAGTCTGGTGTACATGGACCAGATGCACCTGCTGATAGTGGCGGCGAGGAGCATATACTGGGTGTCGCTCGACAGGCCATAGACGGATTTCTGCTTCTGTATCTTCCTCAGAAGCACGATGGAACCCACGAAGTGGACCAGGTAGCCGAGGATGAACAGCCAAATCTCCATCGAACGACGGGCACACGAAAAACGAGCCGAATCGGCGGGACGGGTGTCGGGAAGATGCGAGGGGGAGAGGGGGAGCGGACTGGTGGCCGGCCCTCCTGTCTTGCCGCCAAGGATAGAAAAACGACGAGGAAAACCGGGCGAGAGGGGCTGGTGCGCGGGTGAGGGAGGCGCTGGTGCTCGTGCGAAAAGGTCAGAAAAGGCAAAAAGGAAGGCAGGCAAGCAAAAACCTGCAGATATGGAGGGGGGGTGAGCGAAAACGCGAGCAAGACGCACGAGAAGGGAACGGCCGCAAACGATCGAGCGTCCGTACACTTTAAACCCTGCGAGCTAAACCCTACACTTTCTAACCCTACGGTTTTACCCCACTTCCTGACATCCCAACCAAACTACTAGCTCAAATCTGTGTGAGTCTGGTGATCTTGGCAGTTCAGTCGCAGAGTTGTGCGCGCGGCGGATCTGTCATTCAGAGGTACGTCAAAACACGGCAGACACATTTGCTCAGATGCAGCGCTTTCTGCGCCTGGACGTCTGTCTGCATCATGCTTGCAGGTGCTGACGACAGTGCCGACGGCGAACAACGGGTCCACGTGTTTGCGGCAGGTAGGTAGTTTGTGGAGCGGAGGCCGGATGGGTACACCGCTCGTGAGCCGAGGTGAGCGACTGTCAGTGCCTTACGGCGACTTCATCTCGAAACTGTACATCGGATCACGCGATGACGCCAAGAACCTTCAGGCGCTGCAAGCCAATCGAATCAGGTAGGAGGGAGGCTCGGGAGGGCAGGTGGGAAGGATCTGACAGGCAAATCGAGCTCTCAGATGACGTGTGTGTTTTTTCCTGTCCTTCCTTTCTGCTATCTATCTTGTTCGTTCAGGTATGTGCTCAACTGCACGCCCAGCAAGAACGATGGCGGTGTGGCCAACTTCCATGAGGCTCGGCGCGACGCCTTCGAGTACTTCCGCTGTCCGCTCCAGGACAACCCCTCGCAGAGCCTAAAGGGCCACCTGGACGACGCATTCGCCTTCCTGCACAAGGCACGCATCCGCGAGGACGGCAACGTGCTCATCCACTGCAACAAAGGCGAGAGCCGCTCCGTCGCCATCGCCATCGCATTCCTCATGACGCAGAGCAACATGTCCTACGACGACGCCCTCGGCCTCGTCCGCAAGGCGAGACCGCAGGCCAAGGTCAACGACGCATTCGTCCCGCAGCTACAGCAACTGGCCCAGGACAGCGGGGCGGAGAACGGGGTGGCGTCCCAGTCCGGCGACAGGGATGGGCAGAAGGTGACGAGCGAACCTGAGCCCAAGAGGAGGCGGATCGGTCCAACCATGCCCACAGGGAGGACGATTGGCCCCACCATGCCGCCGCAAAGAGCTGCCGACAAGAAGGACGAGGCACAAGGGGAGGAGAGCAGGCCCGCGCCAGGCGCATTCGCTGGTCCTCCAGAAGCTCCGCCAGATCGAGCTGCTGCAGATGGAGGCGAGGAGAGGGCTGACGAGGGAGGAGAGGGGGGGCAGGAGGGGGCCAGCACAGAAGAGCCAGGCGCAGTGAGAGTTGGCATATGAATAAATGAGATGGGTGAGTGAGAAAGGCCGTGGCCATGTGAATCGCAGCACCCAGTGGGGTGGGTGTTTTGGTGTACAGCATTTCTTTGCATCTTGGTACAATACAGGTCATGTGCGTGGGACAGAGAGATTAAAGGGGGGGGG